GAGGTCACTACATGCCATCTCAGCACAATTATTTAACAATAAACCAAAAAAGAAAGTTGAATTGATTAACTAGTATCTGTGTTCAACTTTTTTTTTTTTTTGAATGCTACTAGCTCTATTACATTGTAGTATCTGTGTTCAACTGAGTTACCATAATTTACATTATCAGCATACTCTCTTGGACAGGGAATGTGGAGAGCACTTGTGGTTGGAAATTCAACATTTTGAAAAGAATGATATTTAAAGAATTTTCTTTAACCATATAATTAATTACCAATTAAAGATTTGAGAGTCAATGGACAATTTACGTTAAAAATTAATCGACTTCAAAAACCCAAAAAAAAAAAAAGGTAAATCCACGTGGCAGAATATTAGCCTCAACAGCATTACAAAATTTGCCGATCGGGCCCCACAAATAAAATTTCTTTCCAGAATTTCACCCGTGCATATTTTATTATTATAATCATTTTATCATCTCTCAAGTCTTTCATCAAAGTAATTATTACGTTTTCATTCACGATTTCTGCGCATGCGCTTGTGGGCATTTCTAGATAAACCCCTCTCCTTTTCCACAGCGACGAACTGGGGAAATCATCATTGAATTCCGAGACTTTAACCGAGTGGTTTGCTGTAAAATCAGCGAAAGAAGGAATAGTTCCCAAGAAAAGGAAAAGGGGAGGGGAAAGAAAGGTTAGTTGAAGCTTTTTAGTGGAGTATTAGTATACTCGCATATATTTTTGGGTTGATCAGAGAATTTCGCTTTCAAGAAATTCGGAGAGATAAGCTATGGTGCGTGGGTTTTTCAACCACTGCTTCCTTTACGCTTCCAACAGTGAAAGGTAAAGATTCTTCTTTTGTTTGTAGTTGCATCTCCTTTTACTTTTGGGTAGGACTTTATTTCATTTCAAATTTCGCTGATTATGAACTGTTGGTTATGGAGTCGAAGCTTTTCCCCTTTCGCCTTACCAGTGTTCTAGGGTTTTGTGAACTGTGATTGCCAGTCCTGTCAAGTTGTAGCTGAAAGCCTGAAAGTTCTGATTTTTATGCACTTTAGTCAGAATTTGGCTGTTGACTCGTTGTTGATTGAGAATTGGGGGTTTAGATCATCATGTTATAATTGTTTGCTATGATGAGATCATAAGTATTTGTTGGGTTGTTAAGTTATCAATCATTTCTTGGCAATGTGGCAATACCTTCAATGAACTCTATTTGTAAGTGCTGTATCTAGATGTGCTTGGATATAAACCTTCTTTGTGGTTTATCTTATCCCTGTATCTAGATGATGAATTGCTCATAGTGATATCAAAGAGCTTCTTGGTAGAGTATATTTTTCTGAAGAGGTGATTGTAATTTGTTGCTTTTGGTGTTGCTGTTTGTTAAAGAGTTGCTAGAAATGCCGTATGGTGTGAGGAATGAGAGATCGGTTAGAGAGCCAAGGAGAGGGTCGACTTATGCAAGGTTGAGGAAGATAATGAAGTGCCTATGTTCAGGGGAACAATTAAGGGTAGATGAAATGATCCCTTCTTCTGAGTCACTTGCAACGAAGGATTATTCAGCAAGTATTCATTCATCCCTAGTTGGAGAACCTGAACAGAAGCCTGATACTGGCAACATTGAAGAAGCAGAATCGTCTTTGCGTGAGAGTGGTTCTCTGAATTATGAGGTTGGTTTTCCCCCTTTTCTCTTGTTTTTGATTACCTCAGTTTATATATATATATAAAACTCAATCTTGCTTGCATGTTCTATAATTGGCTGTATTATTCATTGTTGCAAAATTGCACGGTAGATCTATTTGGTTTGTGAGGGACTAAGTAAGTCATGTATGTTCTCCAGGAAGCAAGAGCATTACTTGGAAGATATGAATACCAGAAGGGGAACATAGAAGCTGCTCTACATGTCTTTGAAGGGATAGATATTTCTGCAGTAACTCCTAAGGTGAAAGTCACGCTTGCACAAAGAGCACAACCTCATAGGAGGCGGTCACAAAATTATGCTTCACCACCGCTGTCCAATCATGCTGCAAGTCTGCTCTTGGAAGCGATTTTTCTGAAAGCAAAATCACTACAGGCTCTTGGGAGGTATAAAGGTATGGTGCTCTTTAAGTGTTCTCACCTTCTCCCTCTTCCTTGTTACGTCTTTGTTGCTGGGAAAACATATACCCTGGTAATCATGTTTGAATGTTTTGACAGTCAGCTGGCCCAACTGGTGTTCAAATGTTTGCTTATTTCTTTTGTTTTTTCGTTGATTTATTTTTTAGTCTTAGATTTCACTTCTTGCCACACACACAATACATACATACATATTTGAGTGCAATATGTTTACTATGAGTGAGATTTAGATCTTATTGATTATTATTTGAGTCTATTCTCTACTGTGTTCATGGTGAAAAGGAATTGGAAAGAATTTCAGGGCTTGATGCCCTGTCAATTTTAGATGTTTAGCTAATATGTCCCCAATCATTTTGCAGAAGCTGCTCAATCATGCACGGTTATTCTGGACATTGTTGAATCTTCATTACCCACAGGTTTGCCTGAAAATCTTGGTGCTGACTGTAAATTGCAGGAGACTCTGAACAAGGCTGCTGAGCTGCTTCCTGAATTATGGAAACTTGCCAGTTCTCCACGTGAAACAATCGCGTCATACCGCCGGGCCCTTCTTCATCAGTGGAACCTTGACACTCCAACTATTGCAAACATTCAAAAAGAATTTGCCATATTCCTCCTGTATAGTGGAGGTGAATCAAATCCTCCTAATCTTCGATCTCAAATGGGTAGTTCTTTTGTACCTGGAAACAATACAGAAGAAGCTATTCTTCTCTTGATAATTCTATTGAGAAAAGTCTCTCTCAAAAGAATAGAGTGGGACCCAGCAATTTTGGACCATCTATCGTATGCATTGGCCATCTCCGGGGGCCTAAGAGCTCTAGCTAATCAGGTCGAGGAGTTGCTTCCCCAGACGATAGATCAGAGTGAAATGTATCAAATACTTGCTCTCTGCTATCATGGAGAAGGTGAAGACCAGACTGCTTTGAATTTGCTGCGGAAGTTGTTGAGAAGCACGGAGCACCCAAGTTCTGTTCCAGCGTTACTGTTGGCTTCAAAGATCTGCAGTGCAACTCCAGAATATGCAGGAGAGGGAGTAAACCTTGCTCGCAGGGCCATTGCAAACATGCAAGGGAAATGCGATGAGTTTTTTGGTGTTGGCAATTTTGTATTAGGCCTTTCACTTTCAGCTCATTCCAAGTCTTTTGCACCAGATTCTGATAGAGTACAGAGACAAACTGAGGCACTTCAATCACTCGAAACAGCTGGGAGAATGACAAGAATGAACAATTCAAATATCATTTACCATCTGTGTGTAGAAAATGCTGAGCAGAGAAAGCTAGATGCTGCCCTTTATTATGCAAAGTGCTTCCTTAAATTAGAAGGCGGATCTACTGTCAAAGGATGGGTGCTGTTGGCTCAGATATTATCAGCTCAAAAACTGTTTTTGGATGCTGAAACTGTAATTAATGCAGCTCTTGAACAGACTGGAAAGTGGGATCAGGGAGAATTGTTAAGATCCAAAGCAAAACTCCAAATTGCTCAGGGTCAAGTGGGAAATGCCATAGATACATATTCTCAACTGCTTGCTGTTCTTCAGGTTCAGTCCAAAAGCTTTGGGGCAATGGCGAAGCTCAAGGTATGAGTTGTTACTTTATTAGCTCGATGAAGTGTAGCTTCTCAGAGTTTAGTCGAATTTACCTTAGCCTCCTGTTTTTTTTCCTGTATTATCTTGTGGTGAAAGAACTAATGTCTCTTCACATTTCTGCTATCATATGGAACAGGATGGTCAAAACCGTTGTCGAACTTTGGAGCTGGAAATCTGGCTTGATCTTGCTTCCATCTACATTAAGCTGTCTCAATGGCAGGATGCAGAGATCTGCCTTTCCAAAGCAAAGGCTATTAGCCATTATTCTGCTTCTAGGTTTTATACTGTTGGTATGTATATATTATTCTAATAATTCAATTCTTAAACTTGGGTTCTGCATAGCCAGATATGCATGAGATTTTTGATTGCTGATGATTCTACTTGGGGCGACTCTCAGGTTTACTTCATCAAGCAAAGGGCCAACACAAAGAAGCACTAAGAGAGTATAACAACGCTTTGACTGTTGATCCAACTCACGTTCCAAGTCTAGTCTCCACCGCTGTGGTTCTCAGGCAGAGTGGTGCCCGATCTCCTCAAGTTGTCAGAAGCTTTCTGATGGAAGCACTTCGGCTCGACAAAATGAGTGCTTCAGCGTGGTATAACCTTGGTCTACTCTATAAAGAAACGGGGGTGGGCTCAACGTTAGAAGCTGCTGAGTGTTTTGAAGCCGCTTTAGTGCTTGAAGAGACTGCGCCTGTTGAATCCCTCCAGATGACCCATCAATCCTGTATATGATTCTGCTGTGATTAACTCTCCCATCAAAATATATGATATATAAAGTAGAATTTTTGTTTACCACTCTCCCCTGGGCCCTGCCTGACATTATACTTGATTTCTGAGTATACTTTTGTTGTTGCAGTCTTGCAGAGCAATGAATATAGATCAATTGTTTATTTCTTCTGTTGAATGTATCATATCATGGAATGATTGATTGATTGAGTGATGAATAGTCAACCTGTGACAGGTACTTGAATATGCAGCATTTAGACAAGGATTGATACCATAAATTAGTCAAAATTTTGAATAGACAAACATCAAGTTGCCCACTGACAAAATGCAGAACTTCTTTTAGGCCCACATATCTTTGAAAAATTCAATCTTTATGATACCCTTCAAGATTTACAACTATTTAGGCAAAATTCAACATTAGCATAGTCTAAAGCTCACATTTTAGACTTGTTTGTTTGATTGTTGAATCTTGTTTCTTTAAATCATTCAGTATTGTGGTGTTAGGGGCAGACATAGTCAGACAGACAGGCAAGAAGTCAATAATAGCATTGGAGACTGGGAAGTGTGAGTTTTTAGAGAGGGAGAGAGAAAAGGGAATGCAGATTTTGTCGGCTCTCTCCAAAGTTAAACCTTCCATACTTGAGATTCTCAGTTGCCTCTTTCCACAGCTCTTTCTTGAATGGAACTGTGGAGGGCACTTCCTGTAACCTTAGTATACTGAGATTCTCAAGGAGACCAAGTTTTCAGGAGAGAAATGGAGGCTGGACCATCATTTTGTGGTGAAGAAGTGGAGAACCAGAAGGTGGCAGAAGACAAGGGAGATAGCTTGGAGGAGGATGAGCATCAAGAAAGCATCACAAGCTTTACCCTTGGTCCTTTGCTTTCTCTTAAAGACCAAATTGAGAAAGACAAGGTTTTTATCTTCTTGATTCTCTATATATAACACCTTTGCCATTAACTTCTTTGTATTAGTCAACCAGTTAAACGGTGTCCCGGGATTGTTTCTGCCTCCTGGCTGATAACATGATTCTTTCTTAAATTTGTGACAGTCCTCCATTCTGACTTGTGTGTTGAATATATTTCTTCCAGGAGAATGAGAGTCTGAGGAGGTGGAAAGAAAAGCTGCTGGGATGTCTGGAAAGTGACTTGAATGGTTTGTATCTAAGGGTCTGAATCTCATATTTTACAAATTTGGGTTCTTGAAAACTCCATCACTAACTTGGTCTGTTTGGTAAAGGAAAATGGAGGCTGAAGTGAATATTCAAAAAAATTTAATTTCATATTCACAATTATTGAATCTCTATATTCATAATTATAGAACTATATGTTTATACTTTTTGAACTACATATTTATAATTATGAACAGTTTTAGAACCGTGCCGGGACACGATTCCATAGCATAATTTGCCTATTTCAATAGTTATGTTGTGCAACCGTATGCACCATGCGTGGTACACACGGTTGCAAAATGACGTCGTTTTGATTAAAAACGCGCGTCTCATTTAAAAAAAAAAAAACAGTTTTGATTCCCCTCAACAGCATTATGTTGTTCATTTATTGTGGATATTTAGTTCATTCATTGTGGATAGATATTTAGTTCATTTATTCTGGATTTTGTGTTATTCATTCACTGTGAATATATAGTTATGAATTTGTGGATTTATATAATTTAAATTATGCACAAAAAATACTATTGCCGGGAATTGAATCTATTTTTTTTTTCTAATGGGACGCGCGTTTTTAGTCAAAACGATATCATTTTTGTAACCGTGTGCACCATACATGTTGCACACGGTTACACAGCATAATTTGCGATCCAGCTCTAGTCCAGCTGAAGCATTGAAGAGAGAAGTCCAACTCCGTTGGTGAAGACAAAATAAAAGGCAAGAATTTTATGTTCTATTACTACTTATTACTTTATTAATTAGTTATGAATAATTCCTAACAAATGGACTAGTTATTTATTTTGAGCAAATATCAATTTTGGTCCCACAAGTATTAGCAAAATGACAGTTTTGGTTTGCATATTTAATTTCTATCAATTTTCATCCACGGCTATTGTTTTAGTACAAATATTCATCCATGATTATTGTTTTAGTGCTAAAATTCATCACAACGGTCATCCATCTGTTTAAGATATGTTGAAATATGAAATTATTAAGGGTATTTTCCTCATTTTCAAATTAAGATCTCAATCTGAGCATGAATATAGGGTTTTGAACCCTAAGATTGATCCTAATTCACAGTTCTCCTCCTCAAATTAAAGTAGGATGAGGAGGATAACTACTATTTGAAATCGATCTTAGGGTTTAAATCTCATTATTTATTCTCAAATTGGGATCTTAAGTTAAAAAGGACAAAAATACCCTTAAAATTTTTAGATTTTGACATATCTTAAACGAATGAGTGATCGGCGTGATGAATTTTGACAATAAAACAATAATAGTGGATGAAAATTGGTACTAAAATAATAGTTGTGGATAAAATGTGTAGGAATTAAACATGTGGATCGAAACTGTCATTTTACTAATACTCGTGAGATCAAAATTGGTATTTGCTCTATTTATTTTCAATGTATAGTTTCATCGTATAAGAGTTATTTAAAGAAAAAGGATTATATCGAAGCTGATGTTGCAAAAATCACAGCTAGGCACTAGGCGGCACCCAACCGCCTCAAACAACGTCAAAATTGTCCTTTTACGCGACCGGGCGCCTAGGGCGCCACCTAGCCGACCGAATATACGCGTTTTTTAGGGTTTACTCGCTCAAAACTATGTTGTTTTGAACGAATAAACCTATTAAAAAAGAAAAAAGAAAACGTGGTACTAATTATTTGATTCCTAAATCGTTTTTTCTCCGTCAAACTAATTCCACTCGTCCTTCAATTCAACGCCGTCGTTTGTATACAATTTACATTTAATCAATTTAGGATTTATAGATGGTCATCCTCCCAAATGCTCTGTCGGGCCGGGGTGTGGGGACCCTTGGGGTTGGAGTTCAACCTTTTGGAAGAAGGATTTATAGATGTTCTTTAGATAATTAGGTTAATATTTAATACTTTAGTATTAAGTATTAATATTTTATTGTATTAACTATTAAAGTATTAAGTATTACATACTTTGTACTTATGAACATTCAAACAAAATTTAAAATAATAATAATAATAATAATAATAATAATAATAATAATAATAATAATAATAATAATAATAAAATTAGACGCCTAGCTGTTGTTTTTTTTTTTTTTTTTTTGAAACATTGATTGAAGCCTGGATGAATGTTGGTGTAACTGTATGAGTTCATTGTGTATGTAACTATGCATTGTTATGAACTTATGATGTTGATTTTGTAGTAATTTTGGACTAGTTATTGTGTTTATACTTTGTATTGAACTTGTTATTATGAACTAGTTATGGCATTTTATGAACTCCTAAATATTAATACATTAGTTAGTATATTTGGATGATTGTAAGTTCGTATGTAATTCAGGACATTGTGATTTGTAAACTTGATTATGTACTTGTGTTAATGCGTTGTAATGTGTAGTTGTTTACCTATTAAAACTAGTAACCTAGGGTTGATTAAACCCATCTATATGAAATCCTTAATTCTTCAAGATGTTAGAATTATTGATATTAATCAACTCTATTTGTTTTAGTTTCACATTTAATTAAATTTAATTTTTTGTAATTTCTATGGTTTTTGAAAGATTTGTGTCTAGGTACTATTTAACAAACACTATCAACATAATAAATTATTACACTTGTTAAGATGATTAGCAATTTTCATGAATTATTGGGTCAATATTCAATAATAATAATTTGTAGAATCGAACTTGTGAAATCAATGGATTTGTTCATTGATTTATGCAAAAACTTGTATGGTAAAATATCTGTCAATGCAGCATTACATAGAAACATTTTAAAGTGAATCTTGAGGGCTAGTAGTACCACTTCCTGCCCTTAAGATTTTTACCATAATGGCATGCAAGGAGTAAATAAAGGTTCGGATTTACGTCCAATATATCTAATGCAAATCTTTCATGCAAAGGAAATAAAACCTTCATACTATATTTGATCATGGAAAAAAGCCCTTAATCTTTAACCTAAACAATCAATACAATGTCACATTAAAAACAACTCTATATAATGAACCAATGAATCAACCCTTACGTATCCCAACCCGGAGAGAGTATGGACGATGGTGAAAATGATTGGGATCTTGCTGCAGTGGTGAGAGGCTGCAGCAACCTCAATGGCAATTCACGTAAGCAAGATGTTCATGAACATTTCAATGGTGGTTTACCTAGCCAAACCTATGACTCAATCCCTTTACTCCATGAACAAAGCCATTTTGATCATTGTAGCACTTTTCCTAGCATAGTGAATGAAAAGCGCAATTTCGGGCTAGAAGAGGTTATTGATAGGTTTACTAGTAGAAAGATGAGAGAACCAGTCCTAGATCCTCAGGGTACCATCACTCCCCTAACTAGTCTTGACAAGGCTGATGGCTCGGGGAAGAAGAAGGTTGATGGCTTGGGGGGTATCGGGAAGGATGATACGCTTCCCCACCAGGTGGAGGAAGTGAACGAGGTTGAGATGCCGGTTGAGAAGGTTCAAGTGCCAGTTGAGAAGGTGGACGAATGGGATGGATGGGTTTGGAGGAAGTATGGGAAGAAGATGGTGAATGATTCACCACACTCAAAGAACTATTACAGATGCAACCACAAGGAGAAGAATTGCCCGGCAAAGAAGCATATTCAGCTAAACCACATGGATGAAAGCAAGTATATCATTACGTACAGAGGTAATCACAATCACCCTCCCCCCGTTCAGAACACTACAACCAAACCTAGAAAGAGGAGCATGGCTCGGCCTCCTGCTCCTCCTGCTGCCAAAGGGGAATGCTCATTTTCTACTCCTAGTACTAATACCGAGGCTACCTGAAAACCTAAGTGCACACAACACCAATGATACCATAACAATCTTATCATGTTCCTTATGTTATTCTCTGAGAAGCATTGTTCTTTAGATGTATTCGGTATTCCCTTGAAATCAATGAATTCTATTCCTTTATATGATTCTACTGTGATTAACTCTCCCATCAAATCAAAATATCTGATATATAAAGTAGAATTTTTGTTTACCATTCTCCCCTGCGTGACATTATTCTTGGTTTTTGAGTATACTTTTGTTGTTGCAGTCTTGCAGAGCAATGAATATAGATCAATTGTTAATTTCTTCTGTTAAATTGATCATATCATGGAATGATTGATTGAGTGATGAAGAGTCAACCTGTGACAGGTACTTGAATCTGCAGCATTTAGACAAGGATTGATACCATAAATTAGTCAAAAATTTGAATAGACAAACATCAAGTTGCCCACTGACAAAGTGCAGAACTTCTTGGCCCACACATCTTTGAAAAATTCAACCTTTATGATACCCTTCAAGATTTACTACTATTTAGGCAAAATTCAACATTAGCAAAGTCTAAAGCTCACATTTTAGACTTGTTTGTTTGATTGTTGAATCTTGTTTCTTTAAATCATACAGTGGCCATGCGAAAAGCCAGAAAGGTGATGGCAGACACTGTCAGGCAAGAAGACAATTATAGCATTGGAGACTGGGAAGTGTGAATGTTTAGAGAGGGAGAGAGAAAAGGGAGTGCAGATTTTGTCAGTCTGACTGACTGTCTCTCCAAAGCTAAACCTACCACACTTAAGATTCTCAGTTGCCTCTTTCCACAGCTCTTTCTTGAATGAAACTGTTGAGGGCACTCCCAGTAACCTTAGTATACTGAGATTTTCAAGGAGACCAAGTTTTCAGAAAATGGAGGCTGGACCATCATTCTGTGGTGAAGAAGTGGAGAACCAGAAGGTGGCAGAAGACGGGAGAGATCGCTTGGAGGAGGATGAGCATCAAGAAAGCATCACAAGCTTTACCCCTGGTCCTTTGCTTTCTCTTAAAGACCAAATTGAGAAAGACAAGGTTTTTATCTTCCTGACTCTCTATATATAACAGTTCTGTCAGCTCATTAGTCTGAGATTGATTGTATGTGTATCAAAGACTATCATTCTAGGGTTCACCTAACCTATGCTTATATCAAGATTTATGTTCTTGGTTTTCTTCAGGCATACAATGTAAGTACTATATTTTGTGATAGCTATTACTTTGCCCCCGTCAAGAAGTGGGCTTCTTAGCTTGAGAAAAGAGAATGTTTCTTGATTGGTGATTTTGGGGTTTATGGCTCAATGGGATTGAGATGTGTTTACAAGCTTTGCCATTAACTTCTTTGTATTAGTCAACCAGTTAAATTGTGTCCGGGGATTGTTTCTGCCTCCTGGCTGATAACATGATTCTTTCTTAAATTTGTGACAGTTATCCATTCTGACTTGTGTGTTGAATATATTTCTTCCAGGAGGATGAGAGTCTGAGGAGGTGGAAAGAAAAGCTGCTGGGATGTCTGGAAAGTGACTTAAATGGTTTGTATCTAAGGGTCTGAATCTCATATTTTACAAATTTGGGTTCTTGAAAACTCCATCACTAACTTGGTCGGTTTGGTAAGGGCAAATGGAGGCTGAAGTAAAATTCCATTCTATTGGAATCATTTCCTCTGCCTCTGGGGAGATTACTGCTCCATTACCCATTAACAAAGGCCAAGAAGGAGCTGTGCTGTTCACTCTAAAGGAAGGGTCTGAATATCAGCTTAAGCTGGCATTCACTGTAATGCACAACATCGTATCCGGCCTGGCATACACAAACACTGTATGGAAGGGTGGTCTTCAAGGTTTGCAGTTTCTACTCATCAACTCCATGGTTAAGTAGATATCAAGCATGCTTAGATTGCTGCAGTTATGATTGCAACCTTAAACTGTCATTCACTATTTTGTTTTGGTTGATTTGAATGTCAGTTGACCAAAGCAAAGGAATGGTGGGCACATTTGCTCCTCAAAAGGAGCCATATGTACACACTTTAGAAAAGGAGACAACTCCCTCGGGCGTACTTGCCCGAGGAGTGTATAAAGCAAACCTTAAGGTGAACGCAAACGTATTCTCTGTTCTGCATATTTTGATTACTGTATATTTCATAAACGATAGATAGAAAGTCATACCTCTGGTTTCTCGTGGCCATTGTTTCCTGCAGTTTGTGGACGATGACAAGAGATGCCATTTGGAGCTCGGTTATTCTTTTGAAATCAACAAGGGCAAGTAGTCAAGTTGAAGCCAAAGTGTTTTTCTGTGCCTGTTGGTATATTCATATTGTCCATTTCATGTGGACATTCCCGAGAATTTGATTTACCATCATCATGTATACACAGGGTATTATTGCTTCAAATCACATTCTGAGCTTTATTATCCTATGGGACTTTGTTGGTTAGTGCCAAACAACTATAATCTGGGCATGCAATTTACTGCCTCTTATAGATTACTCATATTCACCTGGCCATCCATTTTCTCACAACAGCTAACAAATGCAAACTAGGAGCAATACAAGTACGTTATCATTTCATAAAGTATATTCATCACATAAGGTCTCATTCACCGATTAGAATAACAATAGGGTCTTCTATCAAGACTGACTATGTATTTACCGTGTATTCTCACGACGCCTTACATAACGTGTTCTATCATTATATCTGGGTCTATCTTGTGCTCTTTGGGGGACAGGCTCCACTCTCTTCTGTCGTTCAGGTGACCTTTGAACTATCTCTCCATTCACAAACAGCTCGGCTGGAAAATCACCATGTTAAAAATTTATATCTAGTCTATACTAAAGCAACGTGAAAGAAAAAAGAAGCCTTTTTCAAAGAGCATCATAATTCATAAATAACTCAATATGGACAATAAATGTTGTTGACTCGGTTCATAAACAGTAATGGGCAAAGAAATGCAGCAACTATATGTTCACTTTGGAAGCAAGCACCTGGCTCAAAGGCTAGCAAGTGAGATAACATGTAGTAGGCTGTAGGGGTTCAATAATCATTTCATCCTAGTGCAAATTAATATTTGCAGCTAAGCGACTATCAGTGACACAAGACAAACAATCAATGTCTTCCAGAGTTCATGAAGAATGACTAAAATTGTAAGGTTCTTAATTCAGATCCTATATTTAGAGGAAGAGACTATGCCCCTAGTGTCTTCAAAGAGTCTCGATATAGACGCCTATTTGTTATATACTCACATGTTCCATACAACAAACATTTTTCAAGTTCATTCTCAAAATAACAAGTTCAACTCTCAAAGGGAGTAAATTGGCCTTCTTGGTTTGAGTTGGTAAGCTATGGACAAGCTAGGTTGGTTTAGCTACTTGTGGTCTTTTGCCAGCTAGGGTGGAGGGTTAACAAGATTCAAGGTGGCAAAGCAACAAATTAGTAATGGCACACAGCATATTTCCATAATTGACTAAAAAAAGTGGATAACTATAGCAAATATATACCAAGTTTTCAACTTAGAATGAAATACATAAGCCCAAGTAGTAAAACATGCATATACCTCCATAGTCCTTGTTTTCAGGGTCAACATATGAATCTGGAAGAACAAAGAGAACTCCAGGCAAGCCTGCACAGACTCCACAAAACAATGTCTAAGTAAAAAATTTCACATTAAAAAAAAAAAAAAAAAAAAAAAAAAAAAAAACCAAAGCAAATTTGAAGGTTCAATGTAATGAATGAACATTATACAATTGGTCCACTTCATGGTATAATGATTGCAATAAAAATAAAAGCATTACCTTCAAGCTTATTTGATGTCTCCTCATCAATCTCACATCCAAACCCGAAGTACCTCTCACAGGAAACATTATATATCTTCTTCTTAGCCTCCTCTTCACTAACATATACAGCAAAAATCAGTATACCTTAGCAGCTAGAGATAAGGAAAGAGAAAGATTGAGTTTTTACTAACAATTATTGATCAATCAATACCTTCCGACAACTTTGGCTAGGGTTTGAATGTAACAATCAATCATTTGCTGCTTGGTAGCCCCCTCGCCTCCAGGTTTATCCATGACTATGAGCCAGTGCTCGTAGTCGCAACCGGGAAAAAGCGGAGCCATCTCGGTGGGGGGGCGGTTGCCGAAGTTTGAACCGGAATTGAGAGGCGAGTAGGCGGAGCGGTTAGCTCTGCATCTGAAACCATCGAACCGAGCGACAACCTGGAGCGAACGAGTAGGAGCGAAACCGGAGAGACTCGAGTTCTTCTTGGGTAGAACAAACGGTCCAAACCGTTTATGAGTAGTTATAGAAGGGGTGATGGGTGTGTTGGTAATTGCTGATCCGGTCACGGTTGCCGCCGTCGCTCCGGCCATGGTGTGTGGCTTCACAGTAGGAGTGATGGTGTGAGTGACTGAGTGCGAGGGGGATAAGGATTTCCCCTGGGCTTTGGCTCTTTCATAAGATATTCTCCATTTAGAAATTTTATTTTTTACTTATTACTTATTTATTATGGTTTCTAGATGGGGGTTGTTATATCATGGTTATGTTGTGGACCGGTTTCAAAATTGCGTCGTTTTGAAGCAAAACGACGACAATATGAATTTAAAAAAAAATGAATTGCTTCATTCTTTATTATTAACTTGTTGTTTGTCTTTAAAATTCGTTCATTTATATTTAATATTTAAAGTTTTATATTTACAATTTTAGATCTCAATATACAAAATTACAAAACTTAATATTCACAATTGCAGAACTCTATACTCACAATTTTATAACTTTATATTCAAAATTTCATAGTTATATATTCACAATTACATAACTCTATATTTAACAGTATAACACAAGTTATTTTAATAAATATTCACAATTTTTGAACTCTATATTCAAGGAAACGGTGCCACTAATGGCTCCGTCATTCCAGACGCGCGTTTTGGGCATGAGTCCACATCATAATTTGCCTTATATCATGAATCAGGGTCACTTTGCTGGTGGACCATGGTCCTAAACAACGTATAAATTGTATATTTTTGGTATTGAAAGTGTGGACTTTTATAATATAAATTGTGTTTTTAAGTCAAAACACATAATAGTTGAATAGTTGTATAAAAGAATTTGTGAAATCATAAGTTCTTAATATTGTGTGACTACAGTATTTAAAAGTAACTTGTGAATACAAAATAAGATAATTAATTATAGTTAACCTTGTTAATCTTGTGTGTTTGTAGTATACAAATTATAAAATTTTAAAAGATAAATTATGAACATTTAATATGTAAATTGTAAATATTTACACATGGGCACACAGAATAATTTGCAAATTGGCATATTTCATTATAAAGTTTGTCGGCCCAATATGCGCAGTGCTAAAGTCGGATCACAGCGGCCCGCGTGGGTGAATGAATTCGAAGAGGCGGGAGAAATATCATCGAAAAACTGGTGGCGGGGATGGCGGGAATTTAGAACTGAACCCCCATTCCATGCCCACGTCTATATCTGTTCCCGCAATGACTCTTCTTCTCCTCTGCATTTACGTTTTGGTCTTTGGATGGTTAACAGCGGCAGTTCACTGAAGAAGAAATCTGTAATGGCGGATTCTCAAAGCATCGCGAGGTTTCTGAACCCATGGACTCTTCATCTCCAAAAGCTCGGCCTTGAGCTCAAATGCCCTCTCTGGTATACCCATCTTCCGTTTTCTCTCTATGTATACAGTATACAGTGTTGAGATCTTATTGGTATTTTGGTGTTTCCTGATTTGTTTGGTGTTATGATTTATAGCTTAAAGCTGTTGAATAAGCCCGTCTTGCTTCCTTGTAACCACCTTTTCTGCAAGTAAGTTTCCATTCCTTTTTATTTTTTCCTGGAAAAAAAAAAAAACTCATTTTTACCATTAGTGATGAAAACTTGACAAGGCCATATTGTTAAAATGGAAATAAGGGTAAATTTTTTTTAAAGAAGATTTGTTTTTGCCGAGTGTGAACTAGCAGGCTGTGCATCTGCTATGCCTTGTGGAGATTGTAGAAATTTACTTTTCCATCAGATATGTGTGTTGATTTGTTTTGAATTAACAAATTTTGTTTCTTTATGGTATTCTGATTTTTTATTTGTTGGTAAAATTGAATTCTTGGTTCAGTTTTTGCGTTCCGGATTCGACCCAATGTGGATCTGAATGCCCTGTGTGTAAACATCAGTTCTCTGATAGAGGTACTATTATGAAGCTTATTATTGTTATTTTTTCTTTTATGGTGTGCAGTTAAGTTTTGTCTTTTTATCCTAGTGGGCAAAAGACTACAAGCCCATACCTTACATTGTTCATTCCAAAAAGCTAATAGACTCCTCATGCTAGGAGTCACACTTGTAATTTTGTGGTTACCGATTTAACCATCTGACCAACTTGGCTTGGTTATCCCCAATATTTTTCAAAGCAAGAATTGAACTCCACCTAAGGGATTGAAATTTTCTGCTCTAGGGGATTATAGATATATAATGGAGTGATAAAGTGCTTTCTTTGTTGGTCTGTGCAGACATAAGGCCTGCACCTTATATTGAAAATATGGTGTCTATTTACCAAAGCTTGGATGCTGCGTTTGTTGCCAATGTCTCGTTGTCTTTGTCTTCAGGTAAAGATATGTTTTATTCTCATTGAATCTTTTTACTGTCAACATGATTATGGTAACTATGATCTATTTATTGACTTTTTGTTGGATTTAATTGGGGATTACTTGCCTTTGATAACTGGATCAGCTGTAGGAAGATCATTGGAGCAGTCTCCTGTTTCTGTTAGTTCTGCTCAAGGGACATCATCAAAGGAGATGCGATCTGACAAAGCTGTAATGTCTAACCTTTGCTTAAACAAGGGGCTTATGCAGAGGGATGGGCGCATAATAGTTTTGAATGGCAAGAATGGTTCCGATCCCTTGCCAACTTCTGTATTGGCAGGGAATATGACTGATGGGAGGCCTTTGGCAGAGGAAATAGATGTGAATCAATTGCCACAACAATCACCGGTTAGCTATCTTTCATCGGATGATAACAAAGATGTGGATGGCAATACTTGTGAATTGGCTTGCAGGGATTTGGTAAGTTTCTAACCTTGAATTCCCTATTAACATTAGAACACAACAATATTTTTAGTTTAAAAGATCTGGCTGGAGATTAAGCTATGGTAAAGTATACTTGGCCTTTCAAACAGTATTTGCTATATTCATAAATGATATTTTGATCATGTTACAGGGTTTTGGGAAGACAGCAGTAAATATATCTGATGTGGATGGTCGAGATATGACTACGAGTGAAATTTGCTGCAGAAGTAGAGATGATGATGCATCTCTAGAAAGGGATACTAAGAGACAGAAGAAATTGAACTACAGATTATCAGAGATGGACAGCCAGATTGGTGGCAATACTAGGAAGGAAATTGCTTCTGAATGCAATATGGAACATATAGCAGGTTCTTCCCTTGATGTAAAAGCTATTTGTGCTTTCTGCAAGTCCTCAAACACGACAGAAGTGAGTTTTAATATGAAATTGGGATTTCCTTTTCCTCTTGGTCTTGAATGACATGGCTATACCGACAATCAATTGTCGATTATAATTGATTTTTTAAACTAATCTTGTAGGTTACCGGACCAATGTTGTTCTATGCAAATGGAAAGGAAGTTGTGGACACTTTTCCTGATGCCACACCTGCTCACAGGCTATGCATTGACTGGTATGCCATTCATGTGAATTCTGTGGCTATCTGTATTAAATTTGTTAAAGCAGTTATCCTGTATAAAGAGTTAATTTCTTGCATATTATGCCATAAATTGAGAATTTCAAAGTGCAGCTCATAATTTCTTTGGACTTCATATCTCCACTAGAATGATTTTGATTTGTACTCACCAAACCACTTGTACCAGACCAATTTGCTTATATGAAACATTCATCATAGTATACTTCGAAAGCCCATCCGGTCATTACAACTTTTGCATCAACAGTACCTTTTTTTTTTTCCAAATTGCAGGGCACCTCAAGTATATTATGATGGAGAAATCATTAAGAATTTCAAGTCTGAATTGGCTAGATCTGCAAAACTCAAGTGTAATATCTGTGGACTGAAAGGGGCAGCTCTTGGCTGCTATATGAAGTCTTGTCAAAGGACTTATCACATGCCCTGTGCATTTGGAATCCAAGAGTGCCGGTGGGATTTGGTAAGTTTCCAAATGGTTATAGATGATTTATGATCAAACTCTACAAAAGCTCACTTTTATGCTCTCTAGTAATATGACATTTTCTTGTTAATTTGCAGGATAACTTTTTGATGTTGTGTCCAAGTCATAAGTCCGTAAGATTTCCAAATGAAAAGCTGAAGTCTCAGAAGTGTTCCACAGTGGAAAAGAAGAAGTCCGCTAAACTGTAAGAGCACTCTCATATTTCCAGAAATTAGCACTTGTAACCGACTACCAAATAAATTGTTTTAACATTATCCCCTCACTCCATTCTCCCTCTACTACTGGATTATATACCTTAACGAGAAACAATATGCTTATATGCTTGATATTTCTATGAATTGGATGCATAAACCAGCATGCTTAAGCTAAAATTGTTCACTTGGTGTTTTTTCCTTTGGTTCATGCAGAGCGACCGAGCAATTTAACTTCTGGGCAACATCACCTGATGGACCAAAGCAATGGGTTCTATGTGGGTCTGCTCTATCACAAGAGGACAAGGTAGAACACAGCTATGCAACCCTGTCAACAGTGTCTTGCATGTTTGTCTGATTTTTTGTTAAATCTTTGAATGGAACATCAAAGTTTAGATTATTTTGAAGCCATCCTAATTGATGGTTTGAATTTTTTTCTTCCGTGCAGTATACTTTGGTAAAGTTTGCTAAAATGTGTGGTGCAACGGTGTCCAAGTTATGGACACCAAATGTGACACATGTTCTTGCTTCAACAGATGCGGAGGGTGCATGCACAAGGACACTGAAAGTTCTCATGGCCATTTTAGGCGGAAAATGGATCCTTTCAATGGACTGTAAGATTCGTCTCTTGTTAATCCCGACTTTTACATTCACTTCCATTTGCATCGAGCAATGAGTAATATACGGTTTAACCAAATGTGTTTTGTTTTGGTTGTATTTCCCAAACATTAAGACAACTTTGCCTATTTGCAGGGGTAAGAACTTGCATGGATTTTAATGGTCCTATGAACGAAGAGCCTTACGAAATTACCTTAGACAATCATGGCTGCTCTGATGGGCCAAAGACCGGCAGACTTAGGGCTTCAACCAATGTAAATGCTCACTCTTTGCATATCCAAACCGGTATCAATATGCCAAAAAAGGCGAAACACTTTCTGAACAGTTCCATTTTCCTTGCAGGCACCAAAGCTTTTTGTAGGTTTGAAATTTTATATCAGTGGAGATTTCTTAGCACCTTATTTAAAGGACCTGCTTCAGCTGGTT